GACCGCACAGGTTGTCGAAACATCAGTCAATGTCAACAACAACAGTTCTATACAGGACTACGTTTACTCGGACGATGAAACTCAACCTACTTTTGAAATGACTCCTGGATTTAAACCTTTCACATGATAATTAGTGGTAGAAAAGAATACAGTCGAACCTCTCGATACGGATCGACACCTCTCTAATATGGACTTCTCTCTATTACGGACAGTTTCCAATCTCCCGAGAAATTCTCATATATTTTCTTTAAAAAAACCTCCATAATACCGACTCTTTCTAATACGGACAACGGACACGAAATCTCGGCCCCAGAGAGTAATTTCATATACACTTAACCTCTTTATTACGGATACTACTGTGATCAGGTGCCGATCCCGAATCCCGATCAGGTGAATCTGCACAGGGTGAATCTCGTTTTTGACCCTCTTTTACCATTCTTTGTATTATTCTTTAAAACAATGTTTGTCAGCTTTTTTAACTTAAGAATCATCTTGTAGATGTGTGACGTTGGTACCCACTTAAAATCGTGCCGTAAAAAAATAAAGGGTCGACAATCTTTCCAACATCACTAAAAGGAAATTAAATTGTATTTTATCAGTTTGATTACAAGCAATATTGTGCGCCGATTCGACTTAAGAAGGACCCATTTTCTTTTCGAAGAATTATAGCATGTCTCATTTTGTTAGTATTAAAAGTTCACGTCTTTAAAAAAAGTGTTTTTTTTGAAAGAAAATCTATTTTTTGACATGATAGAGTAGGTTTAAGTCAATAATTAAGCACAACTAACGTTTTGGAAACCTGTTGACCACCGGAGTTTAGCATTCTAAAGAGCTTTAACAGAACTGACTATCGATTGCATCGGTGATACACCTTTCATGGAAGAGGGGTGGCTTCGGAGAAGAGTAAGTCCGGCCGAAGATGATAACTGGTAGTAAAAAAGATTATAATAAGATTCCAACACTCTTTTATTTTTCATTTTTTGATTAACTTTTACAAATATTTGCGTGAACCTTTTTATCACATAAAACGAGAAGGTAAGACGTCCTTTTTTGGCTTCATAAGCCATTGGAAAAGTTGTTTTGGTTAGTTTGCCAACGGCAAGAAAATCTACATCGACTCAAGTTTGCACCCAAAATCAGATATTCATTATTTGAAAAAGGTTCTTTTGAAGGAAAGACTCCATCCATGACATCTACTAAGTTACTATGGGCATTTCACTTCATTCTGCTGCCTAAGTAGGTGACAGCGCTGTTTCATTTTTATTCCGTCATTGAGATCCGAGCCAACAGGCGCAGTGAGTAGAAGGGGTCTTAATAACATCAGTGCCTTTCTTACGAGTGACTGCAAATGAAACCGTACAGAGATGGCGAAGACGGCTTAGTACACGTTTTGGTTACCTTTTTCTTTGGCCGAAAGTCGAGACAGCTGACTAGAACTGAGGAGAAGCGTAACAATTAAAATTAGCCCAGGTAATAATGAAAGCATCAACAGCTGTGGCACCAGGTTCTCGATGCCATGAAACTAAACTATCAGACTTGGCATTAAGCCTTGATGCAATAAAAAGTAGATTACATGAACGAAGGTCAAGCCTGCCTTAGGTCATTAACTTTTGAGACCACTCCAAGTAAGATGGATCAAGTAAGGTCTACAGCCAATGGTCTCAATCATCCATAAACCCGTCACAAAACCACTTTCTGATAAAAACAATGGGACCAAGAGGCAATTCTAAAGGATAAATCCAGATTGGTAACGCGAGAATGATTTTAGCCATTGCTGCACCATGGTGGTTCGGTGACAGATTTGCACGTTAACTACACCACGGATACGAAATACTGCAAAATCGCTATTCAGAAACTAAAAGAACAGCTCATATCACTAAAAATTTTAGGTTTTTTCGTGTAATGTGTGATAAAATAGTTTGTAGGTCCTAGAGAGTCGATTATATACGATTTTAAAACGTGGTATTCCACAGTGCTATGAATTGCCCTCTATTACAACGTTCCCCATGGTATTGTACCCTATTTTTGACTGCTTTCTTAAGTGCACAAGGCGCGAAACGAGGCGGAAATCTGTCAGCGGTTCTTCAAATACATCATGTAAGGAGCATCAAACCGGTCAGTATAAAATTAGGACTGTAGACTGCGGACTGCGGACGATGGAAGTTATGGAATGCCTACTAGGCTTCAGGTCCACCATGACGAGCATGCATCCGCGAAAAACTCTTTTGTCCATGTATTAATTTGTCAAGAATTTGAATAGTTTGCAATAACCAAAAGGGAATGTCTAATTCTAGCAAGACAAGACAAGACAAGACAAGACAATGCTTTATTTGGAGTCCTATGTACATCGACTTTATCCAAATAATTTAAAATCATAACACAAATTGCACACTAATGGAACTATAATCAATGTTAACCTAAAGAACTAATGATCTTCTTTTCTCATAGCAGTCGAATACGTATTTTGCAATTAACTTTTGCACTGGTTTGTTCTTGCTCGGAGGGTCTATTAACAACAGAAAAACATCATCTGGTGCCATTCTGTTTACTGATATTCTGTATTCTTTGTTTAAGTATTCAAATAAAGTACTTCTTTTTTCTTGATACGCAGGGCACAGAGTTAAAAGTGTATTTCATCTTCTACGTCTTTTTTACAGATAGGACAGATCCTCTCTTCCGGTTTCTTATAAGGTCTTACATACCGACCTGTCTCTATCGCCAATTTGTGATTACTTAGACGGAGTTTAGTTAGAGTTATCCGGTGTCGGATCAGTTGGTGACCTGACGGAGATAATCTTCACATTTATAATTTTCTATTGTTTTAAATGTTCGGAAGGTTCTTAGTTTGTTCTTTTGGTTGGCGTATTTTTCCTACGTCATGATTGTTTACGTCACTTAACCATCTTTGTAATTCTATGTCTTTCAGTCTTTGTTTGATAATGTTCAAGATTCCTATGTCATTTTCATGTGCTTTTGTCCAGGTATCCCAGGTATCCCAACCCTATTTGGTCTAATACGCTTTTGATTTTCTGGTTCCATAATTCCTTATTCATCCTCGACTTCATGTCATTATAAACCACCTGTGATAATTTGTGTTTTGGGTGTTTGGTCAGAGTTAACCAAAACTTAAAATTCCTATATTGTGCTTCGATTTTTATTGGGAATCTTCCTGTTTTAGCCCTACATGCATTGTTGCTGCAGTACTTATTTACACCTAGCAACCATTTCAAGAATTTAATTTGAACTAGTTCCGCGGGATCTTTTCTATTTGGTCGTTACAGTCAACACCCCAAATTTCACTTCCGTATAGACGTACGGGGGATATCAGAGCATCGAATAGCTTAATCGTCAGCATAATATTTTCTCTAAAGTTGTCACCCTTCTCTTTTCTTAGTTTATAAAGTACCTTGAGCCCAACCTTTTTTAACTCTTCTCTAGCTAAACTAAAATTTCCATGCAGGTTCAGTGTCATTCCCAGATATTTATAAGATTTAACGTTGTGTAGTTTATTTACTCCATACTTAAACGAGTAGTTATTTAAGGACTTGCCACAATTATTAAAGATCTGATGACTTTTGTTTTGTCTAGATTTACAGTTAGTTCAGTTTTCTCACAGTAGGATTCCAACTTGTTGAGGAGTGTTTGTAGGCCATTTGCTGACAGCGAAAAGATCACTAAGTCATCCGCATATAATAAACAGTTTATAGGTCTTTCAGAGTCATCAAGCAGAATATCGGTTGAGCTTGATGAACTTAAAAATTCGGGTAGGTCACTTAGATAGAGATTGGGTGATAACATACAACCTTGCTTAACTCCAGTGTAACACGGAAGAGCTTCGGTCATTTTGTTGTTAATTTTGACTGCTAATTTATCTTTTGAGTACATGGACATTACTAGCATTCTAGCTCTCTGCCCTTGGTGCTCCCTTACCGCGAGGCTTGACCCCTCCGAGGTTGAGGAAGGAGTAGCCTAGCGCCTGTGTACAGACGATCTCCCCTCCTTCAGGAAAAAATCGGGATGAGAGACTTCCCATCTCATCTCATCTCATCTTCTCTTCTCATCTCTTCTCCCGATTTTTTCCTGAGGGAGGGGAGACGTCTGTACACAGGCAAGGGAAAGAGGCGGGGAGGGAGTGGTGGGGGGAGGTTTAGACTCAAATATAAAAGTGACAGGAATGTTAGTCGTCTTTCTTAAGGGATGAAATTGCCGGTTTTGGGTTTCAAGACGGAAAGCCAATATTTTTACCTATAGCGCTATCGCTTTAATAAAGAAATATCAATCGCTGTTAAGCGGTATTGGAAAATGGTCTCCGAATGGCCAAATTGCCTAGGCCACACCCAGATTGGTATCGTTAGTTTCCTGAATTCTAATTTTACAACAAGCTTCCCCCTCTGCTTCACAGGGGACTCCTCACGGGGTCTTGGCCCGGTTGGAAAATATCTATCAGGACACGATACAAACACCGTTTTAAGTATTGTCTTCATCAGCTTCGGAAGAAGTACTTGATATTACTTGTTCAAATTACTCTAAAATGAGTTCAAAAGCTGTTTTCAAGTTCAGTTCTTTATTTGACATGATCACTACATTGTAGATACAATTACGTTCCAAAGGACATATACCTCAGACGTAAAGGTTAGTACGTATTCGTAAATATTGTTATAAAGATCACTAAGGACTATTTTTAAACGTCGAAAGTGAATTCATCAATCTGACCTAATCGCCATTTTTTCCGGTTTACAATACAGATAGAACATATTTATTGGTTCATTGATGATTCAAGTTAGTCTTTTGGTTTTTAAGATTTTTAATCATTTGGTTTTGTAATTTAGGGATTCCGGCGGGGGGGGGGGTCCGGAGAATGTGAGTACACTGTACTGAGCAATGCGAAGTTAGCCACCTAACCAGTCTACAAAGTAAGAGGTCATCTTTTTTTTCATTCCGGTTTACGTCCAGTCTTGTAGTATTCCTTTTCTTTATTAGCTTATATTCCCTTTCGACATTCAACACGGCAAAGGATCACTGATGTCTCCCCAATACAAAACCTGCTTTGTTTTTTCTGTGGACTGTAAGCTTGTCATCAGAGAAGCCATTTTACCGTCATACAAATCAAATACCCCACCTAAAAAATAAAACCTTTACGTTAACAATAAAATAGAATGACGCATAAACAGTGAATGAACTTTTGAATAGCACAGTAAAATACAGAAGATGCCGTGGAATCCCCTTTAATACGGTCACCAATGGGTCAAAAAACTTGGCTGTATTAATGAGGTGGCTGTATTACCGGGGTAGGGTCAAATTACATGACCTGAGGGCCGTAATGACAAGTACACAATACATTAGCAACTGTTCTCTTTAATGGAGAACCGGAATGTAGATATCGTTTACAGTGATTAAAAAAAACACTTGCAACTTTCCTTCAGTAAATAAAACATTTTTAAAAATCAGCTATTTAACCACCACAAATGCATTTTAGGTGTAATAAAGTTTACAAAACAATACAAGAACAAACACAGCTTACTAGTTAAATAAAATTGACATGCCACAGGCACTTTAATTTTCTAAATTTCGAACGAGTGTCGTCGAGAAACTGTTCAGCTTGCCAGTTTTCAAAGTTTATCTCTGCGGTTAGTATCTTTGAATTATACAACCTCGTTTCCAGGTTCTCACTCTCCCGCTCCGTAGGGACAGTTAGGACAGGACCCTGGGGATGAGGTTGTAAATTTTTATTCTTGGAAAACATTTGATGGCGTCAAATCTGTGATTAGGACAACTAAAATCAGTTTCGTTGCTAACGGTTAATTGCGAGTAACTGGCAAACCTTATATTTAGCAGGCCTTTTGTAAAGCGCGCTAGGTTACAATGTCACTGGCGTATATCAATCTTGTACCTGTATGGACGTAGAGTATTCTTTTTCCTTTGAATCTTCCAGGATTATTCTTCATCTCTGTTAACATTCCTCTTATTGCCTTTATATTGTACACTGGGTCCACCAATACTCCAGTTGTTCTTGAGATCTCAATAATGTTTTCTGAAGTTTTATTAAACGTTATAATTATTAAACAAACTAATAAATTATAGAAAAAAACTACAATTCAGGTTACGTTAAGACCACGTTGAGTTACGTCCATTATTTGCCAGTTTACTTATCTTAATTTCCTGATATTTTTTTCTAATAATGATAAAGAGCGTTTTCACTCATCACGTGGCCAGGTGGTATGCAAAATTATAGGAACGCAAGAAAGTTTTTACGAAAGAAAAAGGTTCAACTCCCACAGAATTGGTTTGGTACACCAACATACTGTTATAAGATCATCCAATGAAGCTAAATTCAACAACTAGTAAAGACTATTCTAACATGTTCGTGTCCCAGGCATCAAGAGAAAACGCTCTACAGCTAAGCACAAACATTACCTACCATTCACCTTGTTATTTCAACGTTTTTCAAGAAGGAAAGAACGTCAAAGCAAAACAAACTCCGCAGATGGATCTAACTTTTTAGAACATTTCTTTACCATCATTGCGCGACTACTACGCTTAACTACCTAATATAACCGTTTACGGGAGACGTAAACAACAGGATCACAAAAACACGGACTTAGGTCATCAGTTGACCCATTTCTGACAGCGGACAATCCGGACTCTGAGATGAATTATTTTGTACGTCATTTATAAAAGAACGAAGGGTATATATGCCCATTGTTTCAATTTCCTTCAAACAGTTGAGGGGTGGTCTACATGTTGAGGACTAAAGCCTTTAGCGACAAAAATTGAGTAAAATAATGTCTCTCAAAAGTTTATGCGATTCCGTGTAAAAGAATATGTAAATTAGGTCACGTGACCTTAAACGGCTATTTTGCGCGTAGAAAGCTTAAATTAAAAATGGCACCAGTTTATAAAAGCAGTCAATAAAAAAATTGCAACCAAACATGTCCCTAGAGGAACGACTAGACATCTGTTCCCGGGCTTTGTTAGATAATTTATTGAAAGTGTAAAAAAACGGAATTTTGTACTAGTACCCAGTCTCCTTATCAAGCGATTTTCGAATTTCGTCCCTGTATAAAAGATTAACTTAAAAGGCCCGGGCACGGAAATGATGTACCGACTAGTCTCATAACTATGACGATAACTGTGACTTCCAGAAAGTAATTAAAACTGATGCCATGTTGCCAAATAGATTTGTGTGCTTAAAATAGTCTTAATAGGTCACGTGACGATTAGTGACTCCAATCATCATGCAAAGTTATTAAACTTATACATACGTAAGAGATTAGACCACCCCCTCCCCCCCCTGTTTGTGAGGAATTAAATAGAAGACCCATACCTTAATTTTCTTGAGAAGTGCGATATTTCACATTTGCTTACATGCAGCGGGCGAACGGACGTTTCATCGGAGGGAAAGTCGCGTGAAAAGCAAGGCAAAGATTTGACCCTGCTAATAAAAGAGGGCTCAAGCGGATTTCCGCCTATGGATAAACGTTTCTTTCATTTGATCACCAACTTCACCAGTTGCTGGTACCCACCTAGTTCATGTTGAGTTGATACAGCATATCCCTTTCCTTTGTATCCATCAATGATATCGATAATCTCCTCTGCTTGAACATCAATCCCCACAGCTCGGAGGTCTTTATTTATGATATCGTAATAGTACGCTGCATTGTCGGCTACATTAACAGCATGGCATCTAGAAGATGAAATGAGTAAACAAGTTCGTTTTAAGGTTCCGCGCAAATCGTCTTTATAAGAGTACAGACAATTAGCATTACAAATTTGATAGCTTCAATTAAAAGATGACAGACGGGAAATTGTTTGTTGCTCAAAATATCTGTTCATCAGTAGAATGCCTAAAATGCGTGCGATTCCACAATTGGTCTCGGCTCCATTAAATCCTATAACAGCCAACTGTGGAACATTTGAGCGAGAGGAGCCCTCACAACGGAACACAGTACTAGTTACTGGCAAGCCGTTCTAGCGTTACCACAAATATAATGGATACCAAAGGTTCACCAGACACCGTACAAGGCAAGGTATATTGCAGCTTCAAGTTCATGCACTACATGTACAACAAATTAAAGCTCTTCTGCAATGCCCACTGCAAAACCATTCGAGAAAAGAAAAACAAGAGAAAGGAAGCTGCCTCAATTGACGCGGGTTGTTCAAATACGCGTTTTCAGTGTAGACCCTTTGCCCACCGCAGTGTTTTTAAAGTCCGGGGGCGATACTCTCTAGATGGCCTTTGCGAGAAGGCTCTGCTCGAAGGAATACATTTTTCTGGCGTTGGGTATAGAAAACGGTAGGGTTTCTTGAGTTGAGGTATATGAAAGGGTAAGGAAATTTGTAATTTACGTATTTAAAAGGACTCTAAACTGAAATATTTCGAGCCAACACACCTTATCGGTTGTATCAGTTTAATTTTTTAAATGCCACATAAAATGACGTGAAGATTTACTGACAGTAAGCATGTGGAAGAGGCAACATTTTTCAATGGAAGTTTAACGTATACGAAAGGTGTACCTTGTTCTGCCAAAATGGTATATAAAAGGGTTAAGGGTTGGATCGCGGTGCGGAAACCCTCCGTATAAAATGTTGCTATGTACCCCGGGAGTTTAAATTTTCTGATGAATATATAGGTAGGGGAAAGCAATGAAGTGTTTCATATTATTATCCTGTTATGATGCACAGCAGACATACTGAAAAAAAAACTGACTTCATGGTGGTAACACATTTACTGGCAAATCATTTACAAGCGTCGCCGAGAGTTTTAACTCGGGACTACCGTGAAAAGATCCAGCTAGCACCCTAACCGCTCGGCCACCCTGCCTCCTCCTACCATTGGGTAATAGGGAGCTTAAGCAACAACAACGGCGACGGCTACGAAAACGTCACATAAAAAGCGAATTTGCGCTGCTTCAAACTTTATCGCGCTTATTCGATCTCGTTTACTTCGTCAAGTGTTGGCAAATGTTTTTGCAGGAGTTAAATTCTAAAGGCCTGTATCAAAGTTCAGGAAAAGAAAAAAAAGTTGTTGTCTTCAACTTGTGTTCCCATCCTCGACAAAACGTGAATTTAGGCACTTTCACGTTGTAGTCGTCCAACGACGGCAAAGAGAATGTACAAAAAAAAGCGTCACGCGCGTGAAAATAAGTTGCTGTTTTGCTTAACTGCCGCTCTCGTTGCTGTCGCCGTCGTCATTGCTTAAGCTCTCTAATAGCTGTTATGACGTCAGAAGCCTTACTTGAGTTTTGATCCAGTTAAGTAATTAGCAATAGCAATGTCTGCTGCCGTTCCTCCTGTACCAGCCGTCACCACTATGTCGTCATAATCTTCCAAAACATTCTAAATATAAATCCAAAACATCCTTGGTAAATTGCGTGTAAACGTTTGCCAATGATCGCAGAGTCCGCACAATTAGTTATGTTATCAATACACACACTAATGCAAAAAAGCCAACCATCCCCGTTGCAGACTGAGCTTTCCGTATCATAGAGCTGGGAGTGTATGAAGTTTAGTGTCGTTGGAACCAATTGATCTGATTATAAACTGCCTGTAACTGGGAGGTGATCGTACTATAGAGGTGTAGCAGGCCCAAAAGCGTCTGACGACTGTGTGTACTAACCATTGCTATCGCTTTAGTTTATCGTCATCGGAGACAGATCATTAAAAAATTTTCGTTTCATCGTTTTAATGCCGATATCATCGTTTTTGTACGAAACAAGAAAGGGACAGATTATGAAGTAAGGTGTTATAGACCTTTTTAGCTTGTATGTTTTATTCTCCCAATTCAGTCCAGATATTCAGATATTCTGTAGCAAATTTTTCTTTTGTCGTTTCATTAATGATGTATACATATGCAAGTGTATGCACATGCATAGAACGACGTTTGAAAGAAACAGTCCTCTTAGGCTTCTCTTGGGCACCATCACGTGGTCTGAAAGGGGAAAACAAAACATACAAGCTAAAAAGGTTTGTTCAGAGCACGTGGTATGATATTCTCGAGAGAATTTTCCTCTTTCTTTTCATAAATTATGCATACATATGCACGTGCATCGGACGACATTTGTAAGAGACAGTTCTCTGGGGTACCAACACGTGGTCTGAAATGAACAAGATATAGAAAAGGTATATTAAAAGTGATTGGCGGAAAAGAGAGCCGTCCTCAAACAACTACCTTAATTCTTCCATACGTGATTTAAGAGCATCCCTCGTCTCATTTAGAACAACACGCAGTGAACACGTGCACTAAAAAACATGTACCCTACTTTAATACAGAATATTGGTACCTGTTCTATCATCTCCTGAAATGCAGTTAAGTAACCAAACATCCCTGTATATGATGAAGCACCTATTTCTATTATGTATGGCGATGATCCCTGTTGCTTTCTGATGAAATAAAGAAAAATACACACTGAAACGTTCTAGTGCTATTACAGCATGGCTATGAAGAAAAGGCGTAATCAGTTTGGCATCTCCTCTACACAGCATGTTATGTCCGTTTCAAGAGATCCGTTGGCACTGGGCCTTACAACAGCTTTCAATGTAGAAAATCCCGGGAGAGAGTATTCCTGGGAATTCGTGGTTTGCTGGGGGTGTTGCCGCCCGTTCTACGAATCCTGACCCTATTTAAGACCCCAAAATTGACATTTTCCACCTGGCTTCTAAAATTTATAACCGTTTTCAGACCTGGCACAGGCAGAAATTATGTTATCACACATACATGCCCACTGGGCAAACATCGACGAGCTCCATATCACTGAAAAAAAATACATTTTGGTTCTTTAATACTTATCGGGTCTACTCACAAATTTTCAGCCATTTTCTCTATCATCTCTTTTAGGCCTGGTCTATATCGAATATTAGGAACAATTACAATAATATTGCTTCCGGCCATCTTGCTCAATAAAAGATTGCCGTTACATCCGATATCTGTAGACTGGATTTACAAGAACATGATTTACTTCATATCAACAACCACCCCTTCCCTCCCCGCCTTAAAAAAACCGTAGCAATACTAATATTCTCACAAAAATTCACGTGTACCGTATCTACTCGAATAAGCGCCTCATTTTGAAAATTTTCACCAGGGGCGTAGCCAGCTTTTCGACTACTTGTAGGCCTGTCTGACTTTCATTTCGACAGACCCTAAAATTTTTCAAAGGCCCTTTTTGAGGGGCTTATATTCGGAGGGGCTTATGTGCGGAGGGAAATTTGCGTTTAAAAATCGATTGGGCTAGCCTTATTCTTGCAAGGAAATTTACCGTTACGAATTTTGCGTTACGAGTTTCAGGGGCTTATATTTGGAGGGGCTTATTTTCGGAATTTTACGGTATCCTGAAAATAGGACGCTTGACTAGAATGCTCTGACCTCACCAACACTTTGAGCTCATATACTCAGTTTAAGCTCAGTTTTAGCTCACCCCAACAACGCACAATTTATTACAGGCGGAAGACTTTAAACCAAAAAATTGTAGGCCCGTCCTATAGGTCTACGGGCCGGATACGCCCCTGTCATTTCCAAATCAACGCCGCTCTCAAATAAGCGCCGCCCTGCAATGAGTGCTGTATTTGGGCCGTCGACATACACACAGGCAGAATGGCATATATTTGAATCAGTTCTCAATACCAGCTCTCCTCCACCCAATAATAAACGAGATGGCGGACGAAGACGATGTCTTGTACTTATGCTTGTGTCGACCACGTTCTAACCTGAGATCAGGCCCAATTTTAGCGGTTCTCATACATTCTCTCTAACGGCTACCGCTAAAACTGGGCCTGATCCAAACTCATTCACGTGTGTGCTTGTTACGGCCAGATTTTGGCCGTAACGCTGATTGGCTGTTAGCACAATGCCACAAGATCTCATTGGCTGTCGGAAACGACGGAAGTTGAAAGCGCTTATTCCTTGCGTGGTTGTTTTCGTGAATGATCCGTCGTTGGCCGAGAGAAGGATCGATTTTGCTGTCTTTTTTATTGTTTTATGGTCTTATGGTAGGAAAATATGCCTTAATATGTGCCATGGAAATTCAGAAAATTCATATGGTTGTTCATATCTTCTCAGGATTTGCTTTATTTACGGAAAGTGAGTGTATCACGGAGTTGAATTCGTCTGCAAGTTGTTGACCGCTAACAAGTTACCTGTTGATTTCTAATGGTAATAGGACTTGTCGTACAATTCAGGGAGTAATCGGGCGAGAAATTTCAAATCGTTGCCGGCGACATTTTCGAGAACGGCTCACATGGTTAACCTTGACTTTTAACTTTTCAAGCATGAATATTTAGACAAAATGAATAAGTATGTGGGATAAAACAGTCTGTGTTAAAATTCAGTCTTCATCAGAGTCAATAATGTAAGCTCGTTTACGCTTTCGTCTTGGAATACTTGGGCTTCTTATCTCGCCGATCTGACATTCTACTCTCGAGGAACTGGTTTGATTTGTTGACTGCGGCCCAAAGTAGTTTTGGATGTTTACAGTGCAGTTGTGGAATTGCTGATCTGCTGGGTCGTTTGTTCGTATAATTGGAGACTGGACGTTAGAATACTGATGGGCGAGAGAAGTTGCGGGCGCCATTGTTTCTATACTCTCGTTGATTTGACGTGACTTTGCCCAGGAAAACCAAACTCTCATCCACGAATTTGTACTTCTTACCGTGTTCTTATTTTCTGCTTCTTTAATTGTTTCTTGTATTTGCTCACGGGAAGTAAGTGAAAAGCTGGACTCGTCTGGTGCCGGTAAGTTGTTTGTTTCCATCGTTGTTTCCGCCAGGACAGCTCGCTCTCTCGAATTGTTGTATTTAAGACTTCAGGAACTGTATCGCTGTTTTCTTTACTTTCAAGGCTTTCTAAATCAATTGTATTAAACAAGTTGTCAAAGCCTAAAGAAAAAATGTGTGAATAAAAGTCACTGGACCAGTTAGTTTCGTCCATTTTTCTTTTCCAGTTGAAGCTGGACAGCTTACCTGGTCAAAATTTTTTCGTTGATTTTGATTGGTTATCATGGGCCATGTAGTGAAATTTCATTGGCTAGTGGCATTTGCTACTTGACTTTCACAGGTCAGATCGGACAGTTTTGGAGTTACATAGCAAAATTAAGCTATAAATGTGGGCTGTTAAGAACCAATCATATTGAAGCATTTTGTTATTTGAAAGTTTAGCCGGGAAGGACTTCTCTGAACGGGGTACGCAAGCGGAGGCTCACTGCAAAAGAAACCTCAATCGCCAACTGCGAAGTATTAGACAAAAAATATTGCATCGCTGTTCAAGGAATTTTCAGTGTAGGCATTATTATAAAAGCTGGTGGCTTAAGGTAACAGACTGGTTGTTTGCCTTCGCTTTTTGTAAAAAATATTTCAGGAAAACAGGTGCCCTCGCCGTTGGCTGTTTGCTTTTGTTTTAAAAGATTCGTGTACTGAAAATCTGAGGAAATTGCCGCGGAAAATATTAAGGCAACAGAAAAATAGAAATTTCAATATTTTAAATCGTGTCGCCGTATTTTCGAAAACTCTTTACCTTCTACGCCAACAGAAATAGCCTTCCATATCTCCCTTATTAAATCTCGCAAGAAGTTAAATGTGATTGTGCTGACTGTTTTATTTTTAGCTGAAAAAATTAACAGATAAAAGCTATTTTTTAAGTCAGCCAGTCTGCATTTTTCCCACGCGTGAAAACTTTGCATACTAGAAAAACAAGCAACAGAAGTAATTTTGGTTGGCTGATTCGGCAAATGTCAATCAATCAAAAAGTGGGCGGCAGACGTTTCGTAGCAGGTTTGTATCAGGCTCCCTTTTCGTTTCGCCATGCCCGCCGGAATGTAATTTTCAAAGCGAAACGAAAATAGATCCTGATCTCAGGTTAACCCCGTTCTCACTAGTCCAAGCTACGACATAAGCATAAGATATAGATTTATCCTGGGCTAAAAGCGAAGCTCCCATTAATAAACTTATTATTTAAATCAAACAATAAACTTAATTCCAAAACTCAGATAACTTTACAGCACATTCATGTGACTTTTGAAGGAAAGGCTAAGTGAGTTTAGAGAAAAATAATTTGCAAAGAACCCAAGAGCGAACCAAATCTTACATCAAGTTTACAGCCTCATATGTACACCCAAAAAATAGCAACCATCCTCTCTTGATCACCGTAGATTAATTAGGCCTGGAAAAAAAATCAGGCCGAATTTTTGCATTCGATAAGTTTACTTTACAAAATCCTGCCAGCAAATCTGGGTGTGTGTAAACCAACCTTTTTACCATTTGTACATCACATCTGAGGTAAAACAGGTACTGTTTTTATCATACAGACCTTGGACAGAATGCAGTATTTCACAATTTTGTCATACAAAATTACGCTCGTTCAATACAGACGATCGAAGCACGACTGGGCTTTTAGCTAAACCGTTAAAATAATTTCCAAAATCACCTATACGGCCAGCCGGTTCTCACTTTTGCGTTTCATGAGCTGTGGTCAACCGTTTGAATGAACATTAATAGAGTGTCGCTCCAACACAGTAACGAATTTATTATGTATATGTTTTTGTTTATTTCATCGATGTGTAATCTTCAAAAGCGTTTGATACGCGCGGCAGTTTGAGTACTCGTGCAAGCGTTGTTGACACTGAACGACTGAAAACAAACGGCACAGCGTTTAAAATTACAATAGAGACTACTAACAATCAACAAACTTTTACAGCTAGGATTATAACCAAATATTCTTTGAAACGTTTTCTTTCTATTTACGGTGAGAAAATGTCTAAAGGCTTGTTAAAGTTCTGTAAGCTTATATCAAACCTGATACTCGGTCAGATCATTGTCTCAACTGTTACAAACGTGCATAAACTAAATAGCCGCATAAACTATGCTCGACTTCATTAAATTAGATATAAAAAAAACAAACATCAAATACTATCATTACTCAGGCTTACCATTCGAGATGTAGCTCCTGAAAGGTACCAAGTAGGGTCAGTATCGCTTCAGACTTTTCAAGCAAGGTGAAAAACGAAAACGATGCCATCCGAAATCAGATTTGCGACTTTGACAAGCGACGCATCTCTCAACCAAAAAACCAATAAACAAACTAGCCACGAATAACAGGATACTCTTGATAGCAGCTGTATTTCATTTTTGTACATCCAGTAGAAAAAGACAGTTAAAAACATCACAAGTTGACACAAAATTCTGTCAGCTTCAGCCGTCAAAGTAAACAAGATTCAAGATGATGCATAAATTTTCCGCATGAACTGACCTGTCAAATTTTGACCAATCAGAGCATAAAAATTGGACGTAGAGCGTGTCCACCGTGTGACCTTGGCAAGAAAAGGTCTTCCCCGCCAGTATTTCTAAATAGCGGCTGAATTTTCGCGTCCAAGGTTAGTTTGAAATCAAAATC